CGCGGCAGAGCCGGTCCCTGTCGTGCCGCAGGCGCCCGCCTCTGGCGTTTTCACCTTTCAGAAGTGGAAAAAGTGAAAGGAGTATAAGATACGGCAAAGGGTACCCTTTTCCCACTTTCTCCATATCTTGTACTACTTATATTAAAGCAAAATACTGAAAAAAAAATTCATATGAAACTTCGTTCAAAGGACTTTTTTTGTGATGAAGTAGTTGTCCCTCCTGCCTTTCAGTTGGCAAACTTAGGCCCAAATGCAAGGATGCAGCGAGCACTAATATCTCCTCCTTGCGAAGACAGCACGTGGGTCAGAGGTCCCATCTAGATTAAGGCTTGTCACTAACTACTTCTGGAGGTGCACCAAAGCACCACTGGTTCGAAACACAGCTCGCTTATGACCTTCTATAAGCAGAACTTCTGCCTTTATCCATATATCCCCAATACTACATAATTTTTTTAACTCTCCCCTAGCAACAATCGGTACTGCACCTTTAATCTTAGTTTTACCTTTTGAGTGCTCTGTGAACAGCTGGAATTCTCTTTTTTTATAGGCTCTTCTTTCTTTGTACAATTCAATAGCATTCACAGTATCATCTGTGAATCAACTGCTGTCTTCTTTCCTTACCTACAATTGCCTTAAGGAAACTTGTTTCTCAGGGAAAATAAATAAATAAAAGTTGCCTTTCTGGCAAGAGGTCTACATGACCAGGCATGCCAGCTGAAATAGTAAAAAACAAAACAAACCCAACTCCCCCCTCCAAAAAAAAAAAAACCACACACACAAAGGCATTTCTGAAGTCTGCAGCCCAGGAGTTTATATCCATGATATAAGAAATACAGAGCAGTGTTTTTCAAGCTCAGATGTGGTATTACCAAGATTACGGAACAAACTGCTCCTTTCCTAATGAGTTGACACTGCTTTTAATGAAACAACTGCAAATGCACAGGATCTCATTGCACGGAAATACTCAGCATCTCCACAGTTCAATAAAAAAACATGGAATCAGAAATAAAAAAGTTACTTTAGAGGATAACCTGCAGCTAATAACAATTTTGGAATTTACACATTGTGCTCTAGAAATATCCAATGAGAGCTCTAATTGTGGGGTGAGCTCAGCCAAAATTCCTGTGCTTGTTAGAAACCACTATGCTTTGAGCTGCAGAAAGAGCTCATTCACGGCCTGGTTCAAGGGAATGCATCATGTTGTTCTGGCTCATGAACAATGTCAAATGTTGAATCCAATGACAGGACTTTCAAGTAATAAAACGATTCAGAAAGAAGCCCAGAAGATCCCTCAGGCCTCATATTGGCTTGATAACGTCCCAATGCAATTTAATTGGGGATTTAAGCATCTGATTATAATACCATAGCATCTTTATACTGAAGCAAAACATTTTCAACAGGAAGTAGAAAAATAATTTTTCAAAATTTTCTCAAAATGATTAACTACAACATTATCAGATGCTACAGGGACCAGCTGTTTGCAAATACTACCAGGGAAGAAATTCTAAAACAAAAAGCGCTGCAGAAAAAAGTACTGGTGGGTGAGTAGCTCTCATCTTTCCTTAATTCTGTTTAGATTTTATATATGCTTTTAGCAGTAACAGAGAACTACAGTTCACTTCATTGATACCACTTGCAGTAAAGTTCAATGCTGAAATACCTCAAGACAGCCCCCTCTTGCTGGAATTCGTGACACAACTACACTGATCACTTGTTTAAGTGTCCTGGTATGGTTGATAACTACACAGGTATTCCTCATTCCATCACAACTCACTCAAGTTTTCTTTTAGCTTCATCTGTTTTAAGACTTATTTCCTATAGCGCTTCTGAAAGGTTCTAAGTGTTACTAATGAACATGTTCTTCGCTGCTCTAAACTTTGTGAAATCTCTTGTTAAAGAAAAACAGTATTATGGTGTGATGATAGATTTTTGACTGTATACTCTTTCTCAGGAGGTGGAAACAACTACAGAAGATGAGATACAATACAAATTCAGGTGTAATCTTTTCAACTACCTTTCTCTCAAGTGGAAAGAGAGCTGCACAGGATTAACGGTTGCATTGTTAATTATAAGAAAACAAGTAGGTTGACGCATCCCACTTCTAAGCTTAAAACACCTCTACAGTTTCTCAACAAAATATTTGCTAAAGACCTGCTAGCTTTGTCTAAAGGCAAAAGGATTTACATGTGTATTAACTGGGCATTTCTAAATCCATGATGCAAGCAATATTTAACATATATAATTAAAATAAATCAGTATTAACAGTAAGGATGATAATCTTATCACGTACGCAGATTAATCCTTTATTTTAGCTTGCAGCATGAAACAGAGCATTTGTTCGCTCTTTCGGCCCCAAATATCCCAACTTTGCATATAAAAATGAACACCAAAGCCAATATTTAAATCTGATTCATGGGTTTAAAAATAAATAAATTGCAAGTGTGGACATGAAACTTGCTGCCAACAAAGAAATCAGTCTTTAATGTTGTAGTTACGGATTTTTGCCATGTTGGAAGAGAATTTTTTTGGCTTTATGGGATGAGCACAAGACAAATTCCTGGATTTTAACTTCTGCTGAACTTCCAACTTGGTTCCTGTGACTGTCAAAAGTGTAGCTGGCATTTCAACTTTATCCTTGGCTTCAATATTTTGCTGAGATTCTTCAGGCATCTCAGTTTTATCTATCACTTCAAACTCCACTCCTCGAAAAAATAAATAAAATTATTTTGTAGCTATGTTTGTATTTAATCATAAGACTGGATAGTTGAGGAAAATAATTTTATCTTGTCCTCTAACTATACTGCCTTCATAGTGCCATATTATCAAAGTCTTATATTGGGCAACTGAACCTTTCTGCAATAGTAAACACAGGGGGCATAGAACTGTCCATTAAGGCCTGCCAAGCTGACGGTAAAAATACAACAGCATCTCCTGCTCAATCCTTGCTTCATCTGTACCCCTTCATCCTCAGTTAGCACTGGCCTGCTTAACAGAGGAGGAAGGAAGACAGGAAGGAAGGTCTGGAAGTTCAGTTCAAGCACTACTATCTGCTCAGCTGTTTTTAACACCACATTTTACAAGCGCATTCCTCTCTGCCTTCTGAGAGAACATTTGTTTCAATCAAAGCAATACCATCACTGGATAACATGATATAGTTAGACCTACTTATTCCCATGCTGTGAAATGGTGATAAATTAGTCATTAGTTGGCTGCAACAGTGAGACCTTATGTTTCAAAGAAATCACCAGCAGCCACGAGAGCTGCAGCAAAATCTTTTAAGAGAAGCATGATCTAAAGGTGCTAAGGTAGTTCTGTGGGCTTGAGTGAAAAATCTCTGTCAAATCAACATCTTGCTCAGAAGAAGGCACCAGTGCTGAGTTTCCAAAGCTGTTTCATTATTAGAATCCCTTTATCAGGGCACAGTACTCTAAAAAAGTCATTTTATTTGTCAGATTTAATAACTGAAAAACAATGAGAAAGCTTAAGGTGCCTATCATGGAACGCTTCAGGGCCTCTGCCTTGAACATATTCTATATGGCAGCCCATCGCCACCCAGTGAAAGTCTTGTAGGATTTTTAATAGGAATGCCATGTTCTCATAACACAAATACTAGGCATGACTTGCTGGAGAAAATTTGTAATTATGCTATTACATCAAAATAATGTAACATCCAGAAGCTTCACCCTACCCATCTGCTGCAATGAACAGTCTGAACTTGAGAAGACAGGGTGGGAGGAGGAAGGGATACCTCGCTCCTGCCCAAAGGCAAAACCCAGCAAACCACTAGATGCAACTGTCCCAATCTCATAATTCTAAAATAATTTCACATGTGAGACAACGGAGTACAGGCAAACACAGTTTTAATAAGGGAATAAGGTATAGAGGGAAGAAACTTAGGATGTTCTATTTTGTTCCTGTTGGGTTCTTCTTTCTGTTCATTCTAAACTCATTCTGTCTGTATATTAAAGCTACATTACCACCATTATGTGCACTTTTTTTTCATCCTCTCTCACAGAGGAAGGTGTACACAGTGGAACACTTATCTAAAATGTTAGTGTGTACTAGGAAGGACTAACTGAAAAAGTAACATCTTAGGTTGGGAAGCAGGGAGACTGGTCTTAATACTCACAGGAGTTCACATTGCAGTGTCTCCATTCTCTGAAAACACTCTCTCCAACTAAATGAACTTTAATCTTATCACAGATTTCATTAGGTAGGATAAGTGGAATTGGTCAATCACAGTATTCATTGTAAGCTTTAAGTAATGTTCATAGGTGCTTGGCTCCAGCCACTTAATCCTTATTTTTTTAAGGCACTCATATTTTAACCTCAGATTTGCTATAGGAATCCAAAGCAGGCAGCAAAAGTAGGCTCAATTTATTTGCGAAAACATCCGCTACAGTATTCTGTACAAATTGGAACGTTCCGAGCATGACAGGCTTCAGTCCCAGGTACGATCCAATCACAGAGCAAGGAAGAAAGGTGCACGAATTGTCAAGGATAGGTTATTAGCAGGATAAGATAAATTTTTATAGTCAACAGAACGTAGTAGAAAGTCTGAAAAAAGTTCTATGTGGAAGCTTAGCATTATTCACAAAGGAAATCAAAACCACTCTTGAATTATGGAATGAATTAATCAATTGAGGCTTTACAGCTCTCTCCTAAACATGACACTGTGACTGTATACTTTTCAAAATCACTTTTACATTCAGGCTTAGTTTGAACCAGTTGTTCATCCACGAATGTGAAATCTCTGCACTGGGTCAGCTTGATAGCATTTATTATTACAGGTGGCGAAGGCTCAGCGGACCCTTGTGTCACTTGTATACTACTGATGTGAGATCAAGTTGTTCAGCTTGCCACCTAGTGGTTACCTACGGCTGTTGAAGATACGAAAGAAAATTAATGCTCGAGGCCACAGAAGACCTTTGTGTGTGTTTTCTTTCCAGGAAAAAGGACTTCAGTTACAGTGCGTTACCTAGACCCCTGCCACATCTGTCAGATGATAAAGCAGAATTTCATGACAACATCAACATTTCAGAAAAGTGCAGGAGGCTGTGTCTTAAATGACACGGATACAGCTTCAAGGATTATTTTACTTGAGCAGGAGCTGCAGCAGATCAGACTCTCTCTCATTTGTGGTCCAGTTAAGAGCACTGAGGTCAGGTCCATAAATAGACAGCGGTGCTTATTGACAGCTTGTTGCGAAAGATTCCCTCAGCTTTGAGGGGCCTTTTGAATTTGACCAAAGGAACGATTTTCAGAAAAAATGTGGGAGGTCCTAATCTTACAGACCCAAAGGTAAAATAACCAAGCACTAAGAGGCACTCATCACCTGCATCCTTTCTTCCAAAATCTTTTGTTACATTTGCCACTTTTGACAGCAGTGGAGACACTGCAATTACAACTAGTAAGGGCTATACATTAGTTAGGTGTTTGGAACACCATCACAAATATGCAAGCATGTAAAGTTTTGGATTGTCTGTGTTAATACAGAAATTTAAAACAATGAAACTGCAAACAGGCAAGGCTAGTCCTATAATACTGTGTCACAGAAAAAGATAAAGAATCAACACGCAACCTTAGAAATGCTATTTAAAACTGAAATATCCTAAGAGAATACTGAATAAGGACCTTCATGTGTTACTGTTTCTGCTTAGAACTGTTCACCTGTATGAAGGATCTTCAGTTAAAAAAAAAAAAAAAGTGCATCCAACTTACAAGTTCATTAACTTACTTTCAAAGTAACTTTGCTAATAAGAAAGAACTAATAAGAACATAGTTAAGAGCCTAAATTTTAGATTACCGAAATGCTCAACTCATCTTCTGTTTGACCTCTGTTGACTACAGTCAGACAGAGATTACAATACACAGATTTTTTCCCCCCCCTGCAACTAAAGAGATACAAGTAGACATGTTATATGAGCAAAATGAAATTTCCCAGAACTGAAGCCTTCATTTTAAAAACTGGTCCTTAGCTATTTACTTAGGGCTAACAGCACTTCTGAAGGAACACCAACTCAAACAGTTCCTATTCAGGAGAAGAACATTTAAGTGTAGAATGTGTAACTAGGAGATTAGTTAATATTTGTGAAACACTTCAAAGATGAAAAGTTTTATTTAACACGGAAGAGAAATCATCAGTCCTTCTTTAACTGGAGCCAGAAAGAAGCAGATCTCTTTCTGTTTGTTAATATTTTACCAGATTCTTTCTCTGGCCAGCTTTTTACCCACATGGATTGCTCTTAGAACTGTCAGTGATATCAAAGCTGTTGAAATTCTGTCTAGTGTGGAAACATTTAAGATAACTTTTGATCCATAAAGTGTAGAATTTCAGACCACAGGGCTCAGCAACTAACAGTAACAATAAGAATTATAGTAAAAGAAACTCCTGTATCTAAGTTCAAGTAGTAAACCAGAAAAGTTACTTTGCTTTAAAGCAGCTCAGTCTCTTTCTTCCTTAGTCTACAACATAAACTCAACTTTAATATCCAAAGGACCACGGTCCTGAATAGCTGTGGGGGTGGGGTTTCTCCAAATTTATGTTGGGACTATCCACCGCAATTGGAGCCCTACTCTGGCATGGAAAATAGGAAGTCTCATCTACTTCAAAAGCGTATTCAGTTTCTTCAGAACAAGTGACTAGTTGGGACATTCTTAGTGCAGATAGTTTGCCTTATGCTCCTATTCCCTCTGCACTGACCCTAGTCTGCTGACCCAAGGAGAGACAGCTGATCAGGAGCTTTTCACATGGTAACACAATGCATCAATAACAGTACTGGCTTCAGTCTAAAGGTCAGTCAAATTTTAAATAGGTGGTGTTTGCTTTCTTGTCTTAGTTTTTCTGAAGAAAAAAAGAAGTGCCTACAAGAACAAGTAAAAACTCTATTAAACTAATCTTGAAGAAAAAAATTCCAGTTTTCGAAACGTTCTACAAACCAGAACTCCCCTCCTCTCCCCTAACATTTATTCCTAAATCTAAGAAAACCTCTGTAACCCACGAGTGAATAGAGAAATCTTGCAACCTATACAGAAGCTAAGCACACTGTTGGATAAGTGTGCAATGATTTTTGGAGAAAAGCCACAACTCCTCTGACAAGCAACTTTCCTTTGGGGATTACCTGTCATCAGCATTCAAAATGCATGTGTCATGGACCACCAGCCAAAGTCTCCCACCTGCTCCCAACCCCTAGAACAGGGCACAGAAAGGAAATACAGAAGTGTACTCACTATCATTTAGTACAGTTTCTGTATGTAACTGATGTTTTCAGTAGCAGCCTGGCTTGCGCTTGTCTACCTCAGCTGCAGGATCTTTTCCTTTCAATAATACAGTACCATGAAAAACAACTGTACAAGGATCCTGTATTCTTTCTAAACCCCTTATTTCTACTTATCTGCAAAATTAACACAAAATTTATTTTAATCCATCTCCTTCCTACAGTACAAACTACATATCAGTAGGCAGAGTAAGGAGAGAGAAAATCAGAATATTTCTTAGTCCTTTAACTCAACTGAAAACTTCCATGAGTTTGGAATTTGATAGCGAGATGAACAAAGTATGTAAGAGTCCATTTCAGTGATTCAGTGTTAACTTCTAGGTCAAAAAACACCCCAAAACACATTGTCACAATGAATCATGTCATATGCTGGAAATACAGCAAATAGTAAGGCTTATTTGAAGTGCCAGCTATTTTAAGGCCCAACTGCCTGCACTGTACATGAAAGGAGAATGAAGCTGTTCAATAGGTTCAGAAAATAATTCTCATGCTACATCTGGTTTCACCAGAAGTGTCCGTAAAACATTGTTACTGGTGTGAAAGATCTGTATAGTGTTGAACTTATAAAAGAAATGCTTGAATGAGCAATCTAACTTGATCCATAAATTGGAACATAACTTGGAACAGCTTGCTGCTGTTCCACATCATCTTTTGTTACTGAGCTTTCAACTGTGCGCGTCACTTCTGTTTGAAAGCCCAGTAGCCAGTCGTGCAGTCTTAATGATAGTTCTCTCCACTATAACCATATGTTTGATGAATATATTAAATTCAAATGAGTGACTTTAAAAAAGAAAGACTGAATTAATTTTCCATAATTCAGGCACAAAAAAAAAGTTATCCAGGTCTCTGCTAAAAATCAGAAGCAGAACTCCTTGAAAATGTTGTACACACTGCTCTGAAAACATGGTCACAGACATGCAGAAAAGGAGGATTTTAATTTTATAATGTTGTTTTCTGAAATGTATAAAACTAACCAACAATCTAGCAGAATTAAGCCACCACTTGGCCAGTTTCCTAGAGAAGAGAGCTAAGCAACACAAAAAGAATTTTTAGAAGTTCTACTCCTGCAATGCAGTATTTCAGGGCCTGCATGTAATGAGTAAGAAGCTCCTCTCTTAAGCGTTTTTTGGGTGAAACTGGATGCACAGAACACATTAAGGCTGTACATGGGAAAACGTCATCCCTTAATGTCGTTTTGCCTGTTTTATGTCATCAGTAACCTCTTCTTGGCTCTTCTCTGGACCCCAAAAATCTCACAGTAAGTTTTGCAACTGTGGCTGGAAATTTCTAGACATTAAGAAACCGATGTCCTTGTAAGGCTGCCAGTGGTGTTGCATCATACATACAGCAGCATGAAACTGCATGGCATTATCAGTAATGTTTCAAAGACTTCCTTTTGCTTATCCTGTCAATATAGGCCTGACCTGAAATACTCCTCCTATTTCAGTCCCAGCCCCACAAAAAAGCATATGAATCACGACCATCAGCACTACTTCCATTCCAGTCCTACAAGTCTGTCAATGCATATTAGTTTGTCCCTGCAATACACTGTCACTGTGAATAATTGCACTTTTATAACTCATTTTTCATTGTGAAAGCCCATTTAAATACCAATTATTTTTGCTCTTGTGTGCCACTGAAGAGGGTTCACTGCACCTATACACTGGCTTAAAAACGGAAGCAGGGTAACGAAGATTGGAAGGGACCGCTAGAGACCTGGAGTTCAACCCCTTCCCCAGAGCAGGGCTAACTTCAAAGTTATATCGGATTACCCAGGTCTTTGCCCAGCTGAGTTTTTGAACATCTCCAAGGATGAAGATTCCACAGCCTCTCTGGGCAAAACGTCACAATGCTTATTCCTCTCTAGTCAGAGCAATCAGATCACCCCCTTGACCCTCTCTTGTCCATGCTGAATGACGCGGCCCTCTCAACCTCGTCTTGTACATCATATGCTCCAGCCCCCTAGCCATCTTAGTGACTCTCCACTGGACTCACTCCAGTCTGTCAATACTCTCTCTCACACCAGAAGGTCCAAAACTGGACACAGTACTCCAGATGCGGCCTCGATAAGTGCCAAACAGAGGGGAATAATCAGTTCCCTTAACTAGCTGGCTACACTCTTGCAGCCCAGTATGCGGTTGGCCTTTATCACTGCACAGGAGTATCTCTGTAATGGTAACAGGCCACTATGAGTAGAAAGCTAACTCTAAGAGTCTAAAGAGCTGCAGTATTACTCCACAGCTATCACCAGATCTCAGGAATAATAATGGTAATAATAAACAGCCCCTCATACATAAGTCCCATAGCATTCTAAGAAATAATTTATTGAAGGCTACCCCTCCTAATCCAAAACAAAACAAATCACCTTTACTTGCAATATTCTGGAGAAATGTTTATCTGTGAATCTATGAAGACCTTCAGTACAGAAGAGTCTATGACCCTCCTGGGTAACACAGTCCAGTATTAGATGTTCCTACAGTTTTTCCATTATCACAAGTTAAGGACATTACTTTTTGTCCTGTCCATAGCAGAAGTAAGAACAGTTTTCCAAAGTTTTGCCGATGAAGTATTACTTAATGAACAGACCAACAGTTTGGGAAACACATAACATTCATCTGCAATACAGTGCTCAACGTAACGGCTACCATTAGAAAGTTCACTTACAGTTTGCATGCGAAGAAGCTAAACTTTGGAACTACTAGTGTATTTCATTCCTCTTTGCTTATGCTTATTTTGCCCCTCTACACCCTAAGTAATCACAACTTCTTCAATCATTTTTTTTAAATCATGATTTCTAGACTTCTGCTCATTCTTGTTTCTCTCCTGTTGACCCATATCGTTCAAATGCAGTGCCCCAAAATGGGACCTCCAGCAGATGTCTCACTAGAACTAGGTAGGAGTGAAAAGATTACAACAGCTGTCTTATAAACAACATTCCTGCTAAAACTTCCAAGTACCTATGTTTTCTGCGCAACTGTGTAACATTGATTAATGTTCAGTCTGTGATCTAGGTCTTATCCTCTCCTCTCATTCCAACCCTGACACTGTCTTCTGGCAAAATATTTCTTCTGGCAAGAGTGAAAGTACCTTAAACAACTCATTAGATCTTCAGATGGTGATTACAGGACTATAAAACCAGTAGCATTCATGTAAAAAAAATAGTGGAAGGGGGCAGAATCCACTACTGTACTTGCATTCTTCTAGAAGAGTCAAATACTATGATTACATTGCAAAGCATGCTTACCTCGGCCAGTGTTGTTTTGAGGACTGAGAATAGAAGGGCTTGATCCCATTTCTAAAGCGTGCCAAATATCTTGGCAGGAACTATGCGTTCTAGATGAAGAAAGCCAGACCTGCTGGGCTCGACTAGGACTCTCCCTGAGTGGCTGACTTTCAATGAGCTCTGAGGATGTACATGCCTTTTGTTGCTCTGGCCAACAACTTTCAATAGAGGAATCTAGCTGAACCTGTGAAATTCAAACATAGTCTTACAAAGATGCATACTCTTCATATCAAAGACATCTGGTAATTGGTTAAACCTAATAGTGGGATCCTGGCTTTCAAAAAGATGGAAGGTTTCAGCACCTTAGAGACGAGCAGAAACAGAAAGATGTCACTTTTAATTTTGAAAGGTTGTAGGAGAAGATGAATTTTAACATGGTAAAAGTGATCGAGATACCCTAGTTTAAGTGTTAAGTAGAATAAAGCTCTATTACAAATACTATTTTGTACTTAAACAATGAATAACTTAAAAATATATATATATATTCTTTTTTTTTTTTTAAAGTTTTCCAGAAAATGACTTTTGGACAACTACACTTGAAGCATCCCACTGAGGGCAAGTTTGATGATAAAACTGCACTGTAGCTCAGTGGATGGTAATTCTATTTCTTCCCTACAGCTGCTTGGAGCTTCTTCATTTAAGCTAGAGCAGGCATTTAGAGGAGATTCTTGAGAGATGCTCTTGCTTTGCGTACTGCTGCTCCTTCTATGAAATGCTACATTAACACAAATAACCTACAACCTCTAAAAATAGCTGTAATGCTGCTACACTACTAGATTAAAAATAATCTATTATCAATATATTAATCTGTTATAAATAATACTAAATAAAATTGCGTTCTATTTGGATCAACAGGGCCCAATCTTCCCTCCTAATAACTTTGTACTAAATCTGTTCACAATCTCTATTTCTTACTGCTGTTACTATCACCATGCTTGTTACTCAAGTGTATAGTCACAGGGATGTTGTTCCTTTTCATCTATTCCCATGATCAAATTACAGAGGAAAACTTGTAGAGCAGTATTTAAAAAAAGAGATTTATCAGCCAAAAAAAAAATCAAAGTTTCACGAACTTTCAACATGTAGCAATTAAAGTGAGATCTGATGAAAAGTTAACTGCTTCAGCCCTTTCAAAGGAGATTAAAATAAACATCAAAAAAGTCTTTAGCCATAGACTAAAGAAACAAGATATGAGCCCATCACATAAAGTAACTGAGATTGAAATTCTTGTAAGTACGACCTCTGGCCTATAGTAATAAGTTTCTCACAGTTTTTAATAAGGATGATGATGGTTATGAACACAGGAGCATACGTAGCATGGCTAATAAGAGTGATTAAATGGGAGGTCAGGGGAAAGAACCCAAGCACTTGAATGGCAGTGCTTGGAAGCTCAACCTCCTGGAGCTCAGCATCAGTGCAAGAGCTGAAGCCGCAGCAGGTTATGTTCAGCATAAAGACCACTGGGGAGGAACAGCTAGGATGGAGGAAGGGACATCCTCTGACAACCTTCTTCGCACTAAGACAAGATGTTAATACTTCTTGTGACAGTGCTGCTATGACAGTTCTTGATCGGGACTGCAGATCATCAATGAAGGGTTGCAAAACACCACCACGTTCCCAGATCTCTTCTCATAGAATCTAAATATAATCCGAGTCTGCCCAGCTTCATAGCCTAGATGGCTTTCACTATTTTGTGTCCTAACTGATATTTCTGATGCCCTCACCAATTTTTTTGACGTCAAAGCAACTTGAACAGATAGATTTTTCAAAACAGATCACTCTCTAGCTGGTGCTCCACTTACCCGACTGACTTCTTATAGTCTAAGATAACAGAAATTTAGAACTATCTGCTATACCTAAGGAAGAATAAGCCTCCATTAGCTCTGCAGAGGTTACACCATATGGCCTTCTCAGTTTATCGCTCTCTGATGGATTGTTTACAGTGTCTGTTCACACTGCAACCTTTAAAACTTCTTCATTGACTAATGGCGGTAAGGAAGGATCTTATTTTCATTCAGGCAACCTGTTTTAAGTTTCTAATTGACTTTAATGTCATAGCCTTTTGCAACTGAGGCAATTTGTTTCTCTATTAAACCTTCCATGGGAGTGCACCTCCTGCTGAATATCTGCTAGGAAGAAGCTAAGAGAAATTTAAGCCCTCGTGATGGGACTTCCAGACACAGAGTTCTTCCCTGCCATGTTCCTTAGAACATACTGCAAAATGTTGCCATAGGTTGAGTATGAGCTTCACCTTAGCCAAGAAACACGTGTACCCATTTTCTTCCCTGAACATGCATCTTCTCAGGCTGAAATACTGCTGCGTGGCTGAAATACTGCTGCGTACCTCAGATGCTTGGAGAGCCCTTTCCTTTTACATTCAAAAGTCTAGGCCCTCCAATCAAGTATGACCTGTTTTTACTGCTATTCTCTATCCAAGAGAATAGCAATCTTCCGCAAAGCTGGGTAACTGTTTGCCTACAGGCCTGATAGCAGGACACTGAACTTGACCCCGTCAACACCTGCTCCCAACTTTAATTGCTGGATAGTCCTTGGACTTCAACTTTTTACGCTATTCTCTTAAATCTACTAACCCAGAAGTTTTTCTAACTACTGCAGCTCAGCTAACATCCCTCATGGTTATAATTACATGGTTCACCTGCAGTGCTATTTTGCTTAGCAGGAAAAAAAAAAAAAACAACTGTCTTAGGCAGAACTTAATTGCAAAACAAAAGAATCACCCCCCAGACACATAAGCGGTTAAATTAGTACCTGCTGAGTGACATAACTTTCATTTACCTAATTTGTAGCACTTATTCTAAGCAACTGGAGAGGCTAAGGTGATTTTTTCTTTAATCTCACTCCGAACTGAAGGAAAAGAAGAACATCTGAAAGTTCCTTAGAATTTATTACCACTGACTCTTTTAGGAAATTCATTTTTCATTCAAACTGGCTAGCTAGATGGTTTATATAGCTTTGTTACAAACCTAGGCCAACCAGGTAACTCAAAATAATACAAGATGGCATGCTTAGAATGCATATGTGGTTATTCCATCTTTTGGGTTTTTTTGAGTATGTTTTTCCTTCACTAATCTGAAGCAGGAAGGTAAAATTTTCCAATAACTGACTGATAGTCATGATTTCTTAGTGTAAGTTGGCAACACAATAGGGTTTTCTCCTGTGTAGTTTCATATTACCATAGACAGAGATCTTTGTATGCAAAAAGGAAAACATTATACTTCAGTCTCTTACATATTCCTGGATCAATCCTAATGATCCTCAAAAAGGATCTCAACTTGTTGCTGGTTTCAGTTAAGACAAATAAGAATTCCCCTCACAGAGAGGGGATGAAAAATAAGCAGGATACTAGAGACGAGGTTTTAATTCAGTTCATTTTTTCCCCACAAAAGGGCAAAGAGGTTGCATTTACTATCTAACAGGTTGCGGGCTGACTGGCTGGAAAGCAGCTCAGCAGAAAAGAACCTGGGAGTCTTGGGGGACACCAAGTTGAACACGAGCCAGCAACGTGCCCTTCCAGCCAAGGCGGCCAATGGCATCCTTGGCTGCATCGGGAAAAGCATCAGCAGCAGGTCGAGGGAGGTGATTATTCCCCTCTACTCAGCATTGGTGTGATGACATTTGGAGTACTGTGCCCAGTTCCAGGCTCCCCAGTACGAGGAGGACAGTGACATACTGGAACGAGTCCAGCAGAAGGCCACAGAGATGATTAAGGGATTGGAGCATCTGACATAAGAGGAGAGGCTGAGGAAGCTACAATTGTTTAGCCTCAAGAAAAGGAAGCTCTGGAGGGATTGGGAGGAGGTAGGAGGGATAGTAAAAGACGACTGAGCCAGACTCCTCTCAGTGGTATCCCATGCAAGAACAAGAGGCAACGGGCAGAAACTGAAATACAGGAAATTCCACTCACACATAAGAAAAAAAAGCCACTTCTTCACCAGGAGGGTGATCAAACACTGGAACAGGTCACCCAGAGAGGTTCCCAGAGGAAGTATTTCCCCAATTGAACTTGGTTAATAATTCTACTGGAGTTGCACGCCTCAGAGCAACAACCTCACCCTTTCTGAAATAACATCGTTTACTGCCCTCAAAACTAAAACGACAATCAGCTGCTCTGACTCAATCATCACAGGAACAAACCTGCTGATCAATTAAGTAAAGTACATAGTGAAATCCTGACTCCACTGAAGTCATTGGGAGGTCTGCCACTAACTTTTGGGGGAGTCAAGATTTATGCATTTGTCTCTCTGAGGAAAATTGTAATTTAACTATTAAAAACTTTATTTTAATTATAAAAGATTAGAGACAGGTTAGTTACACATTCTATCTTCATATATGTAAACATGCTATTGCAATAATTCGGATAAGAGTGCTTTAAAATCCCACCAGGGTTTATATTTGGAAATATGCTCACTGATTAATCATTTTCAAGTTTATCTTAGAACATATTGCAAATACCTTCAAATGGCATTATCTTACTCATTTAGAACTAAGCTTTATGAAACTCATACTTGTAATTCAGCACTTCTACAGAATAAATAACGCATTTCTGCCGCATTAACACAAATATTTCTGAAGTTTCTTGGATGAATACCATGTTTAAAAAACGCAGTTCTCAAGTTCCAAGTATAATCCCTTAAGTATAAATCTTCCAAGGAACCAAAGGAGGACTTTTACTGGGTTTAGCTCAAAACGCCCAAATGCAAGGAGTTTTAAGGAAAGTTATATACATGGAAATAGAATTGCCTTAACAGCTCAGTATCCCTAAATTTCAGAAGAGTATGTCATTACCTGTGTTGCAAGCTTGTACTGTAGATGCTTTAAAGCTGAAAGCTGACACTGTACTCTTTTGACAAGCTCTCTTGGAGAAAGACTACCAGAGGCAACACAAACCGTGCAGCACTTAGAGCTAACAGGATGCTGAAGTCCTGTAAAAGGTGAGAAAACATTGAGGAAGGCACTCGCTGTTGTTATTCCATCATCAATATTGCATTCCTTGCAGGTGTTTACAGCAGGTATAAATGAATCACAGAACACAGCAGCTTCTTATCGCAGATGAATTCAATACTTTGTGAGAACAGGCTTAGAAACACCTCTTCCAGCTAGTGGTTTTTTTTTTTAAATCTTTGCTTCACTGTCACAGTGATTGTTACACAGAATTTACATGTCTACAGTGAAGTTTACTTACATTCTATCTACTGTCAATTCAAGCTTATTCCATAATAAGCCTATTCTGCTTCCTTTCCCATTTTAATGAGAAATTAGTTTTTATTCCAAAAGATAAGCTGCTTTTTTTCTGCACTTAAAAGAGAAAAGTCTTAATTCAACTTCCAGTTCCCACACGGAATCTAAGCACCAGGGAATCCTTCATCAGAATATTCATCCTCCCAAAATTACTGCCTACAGCCTCTCCTCGTTCTATCTTTGCATCGTCTATCACAGAATAATTTTACTTGTAACAATTAGTTCTGCAGTCTCACAGAAACTGTCCAGCTCAAGGATCCGCCAGGTCCAGCACTTGGCTTTCATATCAAAACTTAGCGCTCTCCAGCTCAAAAGATGAAATTATTTCCAAGTTTTAGTTTTATTCTAAATACATGAGCTAGCATCCTTCTGTAGAATAAGTTTACCTTCCTTTGATACCCTTCCAAGTTCTGCTCTGAGCCTGTTTCCCATTTCAATTAGCTGCTGCTTCTCTTGGCTTAAAATCAAGATTTTTTTCGCTGCTTCCTTCAGTTTATTCCGTATTCCTTGTAGACTGCAACCCACCCAATATGGAAGACCATCACCAGGCCCTACATCAGACAACTGTTGTCCATGATCTACCATCTTTTCTTGAGGAACTTTGTTTTTTGGCCCCTGAAAAAACAGATAACACGTATAATGGATATTTTAAAAGTGTGGTCTATTGGTTTAGAGATTGGTACAAACATGCATTAGAAGCCAGTGGAGAAAAAGTGTAAAGTTACTCTGAAGCCCATTTTTTGCAGGTCCATTTTTGAACTTTTTTTGTTAGCAATACAGAACAAATTAAACCATGGACAAAACTGCTATTGTGATCTGTGACGTTCCCACAAGTATGCTCCATCTTGTTAACTGTAAATGTAAAATAATACATGTAGCCTAAAAACTGTACAACTGTTCATTAGAGAGCAGTTAGTTTTAAGATAAAATGTGAAAAAAGAGACTTCATAGCAGATAGCAGGCTACCACAAACTCTTCTTTGTGATCTGCGTGTGCATACACACGAGGAATAGGTATGACATACAACAACGTCAGAAGAAAAAAGGCTGCAAAATAAAGATTCTAGAGTTGGTTTTGTCTCTGCATCCCTAACTGAGCCCACTTGCACATATGCGTTATGATACAGTATTTACTCAAAATATCACAATCTCATTTTAGGAGCTGTATGGTGGCCTCTTTCAGCTCCCTTACTACAGAGGGGACATTTTCAATAGTCATTTAAATACTCACCATTCACTGAACATATCCTCTCCCTACAGACTTGTTTTAATGCTACATATTACCACAAGTATGTAATCATTTCACACACATTACAATAGTTTTGCAAAACTCTTACAGCTCTATATTTACACTTCCACATATAAACTACTGCTAAATTGTAATTGTATAATTTCAATCAACTTTCAACTAAATCACCCTTAACACTGTGATTCAACAAGTATACATTGATTAAGGTGTCACTGGGGGAGGGGGAGGGGGGGGTGGAAGAAGCTTTAGGGCATTATGCGACTCCCAAACATTCTTTTATTCTTTTTGGATAATTCTACCATAAAAGAGGAGATTCTTGAAAGCATGCACAGAAAGCACACAGGTACACAAACATTATGGAGGAGGAAGGCGGAGAAATAAGGACAGGAAAAGAATATGTAAAAATATTAAGGGACCACCATGGGGGGGGGGGGGGGGGGGGGAAAGGCCTTCGGTGTATTGGTGTACATACAGCAATTTGTATCAAAGCAATCAATGTAAGAAGCTGTAAATTATTACATTCTAACCTCATCATACAGCTGGTGAAAATAAAGCACTGCGGCTCAATATTACGAGATTTCAGGGCCGCATCCAATTATGGTACCACTGGCTGTCAGGCTATGTACTACCCCCCCCCTTGTACCAACAGGCAGAAGTATACCACAGGGCAAGGGCAGAAATATCTTTTTATTTTCATTAAACTTATATTTTCATGGAATTTTACATAAAAGCAAGCACAGAGGAATTTGTTTCAGGTGAAATCTTTTTACCTTTAGCCCCATGTCCAGTGTAAAACTCTACCAATACAAAAGAGAGGAAACATGGAAAAGACAGGCACTTAAAAACAAAAAAAAAAAAGGAGAAAATTCTCCTAAGAATAGATATGAAAAGAATGGAAGACAGACACACATACAGACAAAAGTCTATATGCCCATTTAACCAGTTTATGCAATAAAATTTCCTCTTTTCCTTAAGATACATTTTAGCTGTGAAGTCTACCATTTTGAGAATACAGTCCCAGAACCTCTGTTACACTAAGTGGAAAAAGAAAACTATCACTGTGTCCTTGGGTAGACCTCATGTCTGCTCCCCTGTGTTTAATTACCATCACTGCTCAACAGATGTTTGAGGTTTTCTACCTCAAACTCCTTGCGGTAGAAATATTTTTGCCTGAAATTTGTTACAGCCTTAAGCACATGCTTAACATGCAATTAAAAAACATCATTCTTCTACCCTACCCCTGCGCTTCTTAAGAGACAAGGACTTTTAAAATACAATAAGGAATTTTGATGATATTTTGTCTATTATTCCAAAGCCAGTCTCGGGATTATTTCATCAACCAATCTAAGCCTAAGAAGGCTTATTATGTGCTAAGGAAGAAAAAATAAAACACAACTGTGTGTGTAGGAGACAGGAAAATGCTAGTTCAACATCAATGAAGACAGCACTGACTACAGTTCCAGTACTTTGTTCACTGTAAATTTAGGCCCACACATTTAGAGTGTCATTATTTGCCTATACACATACTGCATAAGTAATACAGTATTTCACACCAAAGATGCTCATCACTGCCTGAAAAATATTGTTGTTTCTCATAACCAGTCCTGAGCATTCAATTACTGTTTAGCATCATGAAGTAAAGGATTTATCTTGGGCATAGAGAATGTTCAGTTCCAATCTCTGTGTCCCCACGACAAAGCCACTCTCTACTTTTCTTTTAAGGCTCCTTCCACACTTAAAAAAAAAAAACTCAAAGAAGATGCAAATGCATCTTGGACAGTGGTTTGTAAAATATTTTCCGCAACAGAAAAGAACAATTGGTACAAAAATCAGTTTTCATCTAATCATTCCGAAAGTGACCAAAGAGGAGAAATAAATCCATTTAATCTATACTGGCACATTTGCTACATGTAGTTTTGCAGCAGGAACAAACAAAACTCCTTACGTATTCAACAAATAGACACAATTACGATTAAGCATTAGCTGTTTAGGGTGGGTTGTGCATGTTTTCACACAAGCTTCCCAGGGCTCCAAAGTTTTGCTTAAACATTGATATCGTGTCAGTTCTTAAAGCTATTACCTTTTAATGTAATCTATGGCCATTATTTATTACTTAGTTACTATTTCCATTTTCTTGAACTTAGAAGGCTGGCCCAGTCTTAACACTTAAAAAAGCTAAAAGGAAACACAGTAGATTATATGGAGTAGTTTAAAGTTAGAAAATTTATTTTTTTTTAATTGCATTTTAACCTATCTTACTCCAGGCTCTTTTTACTACACCATAAACTCTCTCGAACAGGAAGAACATAGAGACTTATTCCATAGATAGTATTCAGTATTTGTCTCAGCTTTTAATTCATTTTTTAGTAATTTTTTACCAAGAGATTGGCCTTAGTGTGACAGACATGCATTGTTCCTACCTCTAAAATAACACAATAGGAATTACATTTGTAGACAGAGCTGAACAAAAATGCTCCTGGAGCCAGTGAGTTTTGAATTCTCAGGTGGCAAGAGCTCCAGACACTAGCCTTCAATTATTTCCCCGAGCCATACATAATGGAGTTACTCACAGTTTCCTGTCCCACAGGGGAAGGACAGGGAACAGAGAAGTGGGGCTCCAGTGGCTGGTGGGCTGCGCTGCCCTCGCAGGCACAGCCATGCTGCCCCTAGTGAGGGTCCTGAAAAAGAGCGCTCAACGAGCTGGCAAATCAGAGGTTCTTTACAGAAAAGACGTAAATTAAGTACCACCCAGTGTAGGTATGATAGTTAAGTTCTGTTACGTTTATTTTGTGAAAACGTTCGTATGTGAATTTCCTAAAGGAATATTAATTTAAATATGTACAACTGCCCCTGTTCTTTACCTGAAGGAAAAAAAAAGGGGAGGGGGAAAAGGGAAGAGGCTGCAAAGAAAATTTGGGAAGAGAAAAATTAGGCACAATCAGATGTGACTCAGGTTCATATTTCCATAAAATAAAAAGGGAATACAACTTCATTTGCATATCTGTGTCAAATCAAAGTTTCACGGTAACTTCTCCCAGACTCCAGTAGCGGCACACTACCTACATCACCATCTGTACTCACCTCGTTACTGGCATACTGAAAGATTTTCAGTACATGCACACCTAAAAGATGGATTTACAAGGGAAAACTTGAAGATTTGATATTCAATAGTTGACATATTTCCAAGAGCTGGGGGTGCAGGGGAAAAAAAAAATCAGAAAGGACTCATGCCAGGGAATGACTAGCCAAAATTTATTACCTAGACAGAAGGAGCATAAATTTGGCTGAAAAAAATCACTGCTGGCTCTCATCTAACTTACACTCCTTACTAACTGACCATATAGGTGTATATAGCACCTTATTTTTAATATTTAAACAAAAGTAATATAGTATTTATGTAACCACACACGTTATCTTTGGTAGTTCAAACACCTTCATACCTTTTCTTTGTGTGGCTTTACTATTAAATCCAAGTTAGCAGCGCTCACTTTGATATTGTTTAAAGTGGTTCTAGTGGAAACTTTGTCTGTGCATGATGAACCTAAAAGAAGAGAGGAGTACAATATGAGAGTATGTGTGTGCACACACGTGTGTGTGTGTGTATATATATATATATATAGTCTAGCCTTTCATAGCAACAGCTGCATCAGAACTTAGTCTCGTTAATAGACAGGCATATCGTTTCAGTACATATACTTTAAACAGAGCTGAAGAAATAAAAAAAGTAGTACAAGCTCACAATATGCAAACATCATTCAGCTACAAAATACAGAAGTGATTATATAAAGTCAACTCATGGGTAAGGAGCACACAAACAAAAGTTATTTCTTCCAATGCTGCATTATTAAATCATTCTCAGGAAACTGGCAATACTCAGTATAACAAGAATAGTTAAGATATAGTGGCTTTTCAATCACAGGTAAAAAAAAAAAAAAAAAAAACACGCATATTAATAAATTGAAACTAATCCTGAAACATTTTCAAATTCCAGTAAAAATGGAAGTCTGAATCTGAACATTTTGGTGTACATGGGCAGGTCAGTGGAAAGAACAATTGACTTCTCAGAAATCAGAAGCGCTCTTCCAAGTTACTCTGCCATTGCCTTAAATTTTAGGTTTAACATTATCATCTCTTTGAGTGACTGAATATAATCTCCATCTACATTTTTAAAGGGATATCAGAAAGATTATTTTAGTTGAAGAAAGGCCTAGCGAAAATGCACAATCAATTTCTGAAAAGTTACATTTATCAACTGATAAAGATCATTGGTTTTCTTGGAGAACACGAAGCTCTCACAGCTGTAAGCCTTTTTAATATTAAACTATATCATCTCCAAAAACAGTGGACTAACTTTAGTTGCCTGTGACAAAACTATTCTTGAAATAATTTTTTTATTTAACAGGTTTTCTTGAATTAGTTATCATTATTTTGTTACTAACAAAACTGAAAAGTAAAATAAGCTTATATTTATTAAAAATGCCTCTGCAGCCTTAATTAGCTAGTCATTTCACATTGCTGCATAAGTAGCAGTTTAAAATAAATTCTGAAAACTGGTAAGACAGATTTATTCTCATTGCAAAATCTAAACAGAGAAGCATATTGGACAGCAAAACACAGGGTGCAACAAAACACCTTTCACCAAGTCCATCTTAGTTTTCTGAAATATAAATTCAGAAGTTAAAGGTTTACATAAATGAGGCATAAACAGATGTACAACACAGCTATCTACCTGAATTTAAATAACTGGCAAAAACTGATAAAAACCAGGGCTACCTTTCTGCACAGGTTTTGAAAGATAACCTTGAAAGAGTTATACCTTGCCTAATTTATTATTATTATTACACCAAAAACAGATGGGGGCTGGTTATTCCATTACCACGTTACAGTTGGTTTCCTTTTCCATTTTCTCCAGAATTCCAAAATTCACAAGAATGTGTACCCCTCCCTCCCCCCCCCCAAATAAATACAATCCTTTTCTGTTTCCAAACAGTTTTGCACAAGTGCCAATCGAAAACAAAGTTTATACAATTGTGAAAACTTATTACAAAATAATAATATATGTAATGGATATAATAACTTCTGCAGTTCATTTTTTGTTGATGTTATCAGCTTTCAGCTCTAATATAACTACGTTCTATTTTGTGTTTTCCACAAAGGATATACAATATACTAAAATGTTTAAGTGATACTAAAATTTTATTAGTCACCCAACTACGGCAGTATTTGGTAAAGGGATGAGTCTGACAGTTTATATATATAGGGGTGTGTGTGTGTGTGTAATATATGTATGTATGTATATATGCACATACACACACATATATAGGGCATGAAACTTTCAAAAATAAGAATTTCATGTATTTTTATATTATGTCTTATAAAGTATCTTATTGAGATTTATTTATTATAATGCATTTGTTATGAAGTACTTCTTATTGAGATGTTTTTAATTTTCAGCTTCCTTAACTGAATTTAGATTTCTAAGTCAAGATTTGTTCCCTAAGGGAGAGGAAAAAAAACAACAAAACAAAAAAAAAGTGTGAAAGGTGCACGTAACACTTATGTAACAATGTCTTCATCCCATTCCACCTCATTACCTGGTGTAAGTGTTGAGATTTCTGTAGTTATGCCAGTGTTAGCCTGCTCTGCAAGCTGTCTGTTTTCTGTCAGAGGATGAGAGGGTAGCATCTGCTCATCAAGACTCTCCATTTCTTTCCTCATTTGTGCAATAGTAGCCCGAAGGTTGTCATTCTGCTTCTGAAGTTTTTGTACTTCCAAGGTAGGAAAATCCTTGCTAAGAGAACTTTTATCATCACATAGACATACCTATAAAATAAAATTACAGCACAATAATAACAATCTTTATTGATGAGCAACACAAATCCTCTCTCCACAACACTGCACACAAGGAGCTTAACACTTTCAATCTATTAGCAGATTGCTGGAAAAAAAACACAGAAAGTGAAGAAAAATCTGGTTATTCTGAGGATTTGCCTAAGAAAAAAGTGGTATGCTGAGAATCCGAGATGGGAAGGGGCGCAGAAAGGGAAGAAGAGGGCCACAGAGGGCTATATCTTATCTCTGTTGTTCTTTCAATTGTTCTCTGTCTCTCCCTCTCATATCCCAGCTCTTGAAAGAATTCATTTGCTCAACAGCAATCCCCTTTCTGACCTGCCAAATTCTCGTGTCATTGGAGGACATTTGCTTGAAATCATAAAGAGGATGGACATCCATTGCTACACTGGAAAAAGGAAAGAGGGGTATGGAATACATCTAGACAACATCTAGACACTCTAAGTGCTTATTCATGTGTAAAATAAGTAACACTGGCTTTCCTTAAAAAGTAGTTGCTTAGATGGTCTTAGGTATTATGCGTAACAGCAGACAAAATAAAAGGAATTTTGTCAGATACCAATTGAAGCTCTGCCTTCACAAAGAGCATCTGTAGTAGAAGTCTGACTTTTGGAATTATACTTGACGAAAGCATGAACTGATGAGCAACTGTCGGTCCCTACAGACTTCCAAAATTGAAAAGTCTGCCAAAAAAAGATTGGCAAAGCTGCTTTAACTACTGTAGAAACACTAATCTATATTCATAAAATAGGAGTAGCTTGCTTATAGGGTGATACATCCCAGAATCATCCTCTTTCAAGAATTTTTGAAGGGGAATTGTCTGATGTTTTCTCCATAGGCTGCAAACAGTCTTGAAGATCATCCTAGAGATTTAGCTTGGAAACAAAGTTGTGCGTGAATAAGGTGATGCTCTAATCAGAACAAGAATGTGAAATGTTCTAAATCATAAACTTTGATCACTGCTTTACTTTGTTACACCAAAGGTTGCCTGCTCCAGCATCCAATGTCTGACAGTAGTCAGCAACATATGTTTAAGGAAAGCTTAAAAAAAACCAAAAAACCCACAAAAATGACAAATATAGAATCGCTTCCTCTCACATGTCTTTCTCAGTTTCCAAATTTGCAACTTTGGAGAGGGGAAAAAAGAAAAAAAAAAAAAAAGAAAAAATAGACATGACAACACCCCCTTCCCTGCCCAACAACCAACACACAGGAACCGGTAAGCACATTTCCTGATCATTTGAAATTCCAATGCAATCCTCAGAATGTTTTCCTGGTAGAATCTACGCATCATTGAAAAAATACACGACAGGGTCCTGACAGTAAGTACCACTACTGCCATTTCTTCTTTCAAAGTATTAGTGACTTCAATATTCTTAAACAGGTTGCATTAAATGGGTGACTGTGTGTTATAACGGTGGTTTCATCAAAATGCAAAGTTTAGGTTCCATTCCATAAAATCCTCTCTAACTGATGGAAATGCTTGTTGTCAGCCTTGTAAGATACATTGATACCAGTTGGTATGCAAGTATTAGAAACTCATGGAATTGTGGAACATACACTAATATAGTCACTAAATGAGTCTTGATTTACAGATAGCCCAGACGAGATGTTTTTAGAAAGGAAAAACAGTTTAATGCGTTTGGAACATTCGCGCTCAATGCTGCTAGTTTGTGTTGCTGAGTGTAGAAGTTCCAAATGTTTTTTTTTATTCAACCCTAACCCAAAAGTGTTGCAAGGCAGCAGTCCTGCCTCTTGGGAGGGAAAAGCAATCCATGAGCCCCTCTACAAAGGACAGGTCAGCAAAATACTTAAATCTTAACTTTTTATGCCTTGCACTGCCTCAAAAAACACAACTCCTTTTTCAGTCTTCTCCATCACTCCCCATTTCTTGCAGTCTCCTTGTTTCCCCAGTCATCAGGCTATTCTGGGAGTGTGATCTGAAAGCTGGGAATCTAATGGCCTTCAAATTAAGTTTCCCTTTCATAAGGGCAATGGCTGTGCTACAGCTCATTTCTCTCCTGTGGCTCTTTCCTCCTTTTACAGTACAGGGGTAACGTGGAAGATGTGAATAATCCCTACTCTGCTTTTACAGTCTCTCCAAGGTTATCAAGGTAGGTGAGGGGAAAGGAAGGCTGAAGAGGCACGAAGAGGAAGGCAGCAGTAGGTACCAGTACATCTACATAGGTATGCTCTGAATTTTAGGGCCCAAAACTCCACATCAATCTGCAACATAGATTTGAGCCACTGAAGTCTGAACCAGAAATATAACTGTTCCAGATCTTTGCTAGCGGAAAAGAATCTAGACAGAAGACCAGAAAACTGCACAGAATGCTTGCAGTCAATCTGTCCTTATGTGAGCATTTGTACGGTATTAGTAAGGCCATAGCTGCCGGACTAGGGCAAAGTCATACTCAGAATCTGTTCCAAGGAAGAACTTCCAGGTTGGTGTTTTTCACAACTCCGTTGCTTAGTTAGTCTTCAGGATATGACTTGCATAGCATTTCCAGTGCTCTCACAGGGTCCCAGACCAATTTGAAGAAAGGATCTGTATGCTAAGGATACTGTAGCAGCGTGTATTTGTAACTTTTCTTGCCCCAATAGTCTGAACCAGAGGAGAGCCAACACACTACTGTGTCTTTGGGAAAAAGTTTGAAGAATGCTTTGCAAGTATTATCAATTTTAAACACGTTTCCCCCCCATTTGTTTACATTTCACTTTTTTTTTTTTCCCCCCTGCACAAAGATTCCAGTTCGGAATACTTTTTTTGCTGTTTGTTTTGTTTTTAAAACAATGGCCCTTCATAAAAATCAAAGGCAAAAATGGTTTTACCGAGATGGGTACCATGTGTCCTATAGGTCAAAAACAGAGACAAAGTATATTAACAACAAAAAAGTGTGACAATGAAAAAGTGTTGTCAACAACGGTAGCAGTCAGATTACAGTAGAAGAACCACCCTTCCCCAACCATGATTCACTTTGCATTTGAATGATCATGTATATAGCTTTTGCATCAAGTCCAGTTTCAGATGAAATTGGAGCAATCTTCTTCATAAGAAGTTTTTGCTACCAGTCTACTTTTGTCCCTTTTTATTTTAATTTAAAAGTTGTTTTCAGGAAGTACCTTCAAACTATTTTCTGTATTCAGAAAACATTAGGTTTGCTTAACACTGCTTTTTCATTTCAGCAAGATCAGATAATATATTCTTACTAGTTTATTCTGAGCATCGGCAACTGCTCAGTAGGGCACCCCACACATTACACTCTACTCTCACTCTTTACGAAAGTCTTTTCTTGATACATCTCTGCCAGAAGAGTAAGGGATATGATGACCAAAATTAGCAAGAAAGCTTTCCCAGAATGACCAAGTAGGTCTCCAGAATTATCTGTTTGTAAAGCATTCAATTAAAATTTTAGCTTTATAGCTTCAAAATCTACTCTGAGCTGCAACTAACACAGAGCTTCAGGAACACACCAGCAAATAATTCTTCCTGAAGTGCCACAATACTATAGTACATTGTCCTTTTTTTGGAGTAACGTTTTTCTTGCATCTGGTTTGCTCCTTTTGCTGGAAAGGAGAGGATCAGATGCGTAACGAATCCCGTGTCACATAATCTACACATATTCCAGGCTACATGTGTCTCTATTTTGAGTTAGACGGGTGTCTCAAATGAGCTGCTTACAAGTAGTCCAGTGGAAACAAGCCCTATAGGGTTTTCATCTCATTACGAATCCATCCAAGCCAAGACATTAATTGTTGCCTAACCTGTTTCTCTCCTTCAGGTAAAATATCATGACTCCAAAGTGCTTGGAATGTTTGTTCTCTCTCAACAGTCAAGGCAGAAAGAACAGTCTCAATTTCATGCAGCCTATATTCTGTCTTCTGTAGATCAGCTGCAACCTAGGAGGGATTGGGGGGGGGGGGGGGGAAAAAAAAACAAAGACAGGGGG